CCGAACTTTTCCTTGTTTCCGAACTTGGTTGGATGTCAACCATTGCCGTTGTTACATTCGGAAACGGTTGCTGGTCTACACCTAGAGTGATGTATTTGAGCCGACCTGTCTTGATGGCCTTTTGAATTTCCTTCCTAAAATGAGTACACTGACTTGTAGTGTGTGTAAAAGAATTATGCCATTTACAATATGGTCTCCCTTTGATTTCTTCTTTAGTGGCAAGTCTTTGGCCCTTTGGAATACGGATCTGCCCATCAGTCAGTAGGATATCAAAGATTTCATCAGCTTTCGAACTATCAAAGGTCGGTTGCTCCTTTCCTTCAGATCCTGGTACTGGCTTCAATTTAGGACATACATACGGTTTTCCAGAAAGGATTTCGGCTGCCATCTCTTCTGACTGATTAAAATCAAAGTCGCATGTTTCTGTTCCCATACTCGCCATATGTTGGCCTCTATTACGCCTGTTATGCTGATCTTCCTCTCTGAACAAAGATTCTAGACGTCCTGCCTTGGATGCAAGACTTGCCAAATCCTCAACATCCAGGGCAGTGAGTGCCTTTCTTAAACGAGTATGCATATTCCGGACCACTAAATTGGTCATCTCTTTCTCACTGATTACCGTAGGACATCGTCCCTTCATCAATCGCACCCTTTCTATAAACTGTGAAGCAGTTTCTTCTGGATACTGTCTCAATTCAAGTAAATCAGTTAAAGAAACAACTGGTAAAGGATTAAAAAATCTAGCGTGAAATGCCATCTCCAGTCCTTCCCATGTCTGAATTTGTCCTGGAGGCAAACTTACAAACCACGAAAACGCCGTTCTAGTAAGAGATAAACCAAACAGCTGTAACTTATAAAAAGGGTTATTGCCAACTTCTCCTAATTGTGCTGTGAACCGACCAACATGTTCTATGGTGGAAGATCCGTCCTCCCCTGAGAATGCATGAAAGTCGGGTGGTCGAAAATTCCTTGGGAGAGGGTGTTCATGAATGATCCTTTCTGGGAAAGGTCTTTGATATGCAGGGCGGTTAGCCATCTGAGGAGTTAATCCATACTGATCCCTTAATATATGTGCAATCTCATCGGGATCTACATGAAAGCGTTGATGATCAGGAACCTGGAACGGATCCTGCACAGGAATATGAATCGGATCATGTATATATCCTTCAGGCCTGTCCTCCCTTGTATTGTTCGGCTGCGAATTGGTAACCCTTGGTCCCAGTGGAACATTGTTGGGAAAAGTCAAAGGAGTTTTTCCCCGATCCATTCGGTTGGGATTTGTGGCACTTGGGAATGCACTATCCACGAATGATGGCCCTGCGAAATTTGCCTGTGGTCTGGACGGTGACACTCCTGGTGGCGTTTGAGTGGGTTGAAGACTAACCCTTGACAGTGCTTGATCTATCATGTTCTGCAACTGACTCTGTTGCTCACGCAACATGTTCGTTTGTTGCTCACGCAACATATTCTGCATAACCAAGGTATGCTGGTTGTTCATTTGTTGAACATAAGACCACCAATCAGTTGGTGGTTGTGGGATTTCCCCGGCATTTGGCACAATGGGTGGTGGAACGGATTCTCCCACCGGTGTCGAAGATGCTTGCGGTTGTGAACCTGCCATAACCCTTCCGATGATTCGGCCGGATCTAAGACGTATGAAATTATCGCCGGAATTGGAATGAGCAATTTTGTCTTGCTCCCACTGTGGTCGCCAATTTGTTGATGTAATTTTTCAACAAAAATAAAGTAAAATTCAAAGATATAGAAAATATCCTTAAACTTGATTAATTAGTGCCTGAGATTAGGAATCTCTAAACACTGTATGGTACAGAAAATAAACTGGAAAATAAAAGACTGAAATTTAAAGTGGTGATCCCCAAATCTGACTTTGCTTTGTTGAAGTTGATTGAAGATACCTTGCCAAATGATGATTCAGATCCTTAAATATTCCCTGGGAAACCGTACTGAAAACCGTCACCCGAACGGTTACAACGTCTCCTTCTCAACCGTCTTCCAACCTTTCTCATGCTGACACGTGTCCCCAGCAGACCAAAATTCCCTATATTTCGCTCCTTGAGCCGACCACAAACCTTCCGCTCTTTTGGCCCGACTTCGTCCTTCGTCCGACCTACTTCTTCGCCCGACCCCACTTGGGCCGACCTCCATATCAACCGCCCTCTGTCTTTGATCAAAGGCCTCCGCGTTTGTCCGACTCCGCCTTCTATCCGACCTACAGTTTACCCGACCTGCGGATATCCTATCTCGACAACTTTTCCGTCTCGAAGACCTCCCGACTTGAAAACCTTCCGACTCATCGTCTTTCCGTCTTGCGGACCTCCCGACCTGAAAAACTTCCGACTTGAGGTCTTTCCGTCTTGCGGACCTCCCGACCTGAAAACCTTCCGACTTGAGGTCTTTCCATCTTGCGGACCTCCCGACCTGAAAACCTTCCGACTTGAGGTCTTTCCGTCTTGCGGACCTCCCGACCTGAAGACCTTCCGACTTGAGGTCTTTCCGTCCTGAGGACCTACCGACCTGAGGTCCTTCCGTCCTGAGGACCTACCGACCTGAGAACCTTCCGTCTTGAGGTCTTTCCGTCTTGCGGACCTCCCGACCTGAAGACCTTCCGACTTGAGGTCTTTCCGTCTTGCGGACCTCCCGACCTGAAGACCTTCCGACTTGAGGTCTTTCCATCTTGAGGGCCTCCCGACCTGAAGACCTTCCGACCTGAGGTCTTTCCGTCCTGAGGACCTACCGACCTGAGGTCCTTCCGTCCTGAGGACCTACCGACCTGAGAACCTTCCGTCCTGTATTTTCCTTAGAAATAAATAAATAAATTTATTTTCCTTGATTTCCTCACGGTGTCCTTCAGCCAGTTCAATCAACCCTATTGCCAGGCCCATTCTTCTTTTTACCTTGGGCTTTTAACCTAATTCTAAATTTCGTACGTAACAGTCACATCAATACATATTTATATCATAAATTTTACATTCAAAACGTCACATCAATACATATTTATATCATACAATTACTCCAATTTAAATCTTTTGCAATTCAAATTCCAACTCAAAATATAACCACCAAACAAACACATGTATAACAATAGTTCTATAACCACCAAACAAACACATGTATAACAATAGTTCTATATTTCATCTATTGTCAATTTAATGGTTCTAATTATACATATGACGTCATTCTTGAAATTAAGGCCATTATAAGAATCATTACAATAACGATGGATGAGATACATATAAAATTTCAATTATAGTTCATAGATATAATAATAAAAGTAATAAGTTTCAGATGCTTAGAATACCAAAGTTATGTACATACATATATATTTTACTCAAATGTGATTAAACAGTTCAGTATGTCTAATCTAAACATTGATATTAAAATATATTAGTATGTTTTAACACATTGCATATAATTTCTCTACTTCTGCAAACTGATAATCTGCATTATCTCTAAGAGTGGCAATTCGTATTTTTGGGTCGTGTTCGTGTTGGATTGAACCATGGGGATAACAAAAAAACTGTCAACCCAAACCCGATCCGAACCCGAAATTTGACCTAAAACCCTAAACCCGAATACGACACGAATTCTTTCAGGTCGGGTTCAGGTTGACCTGAATTAGTTTCAGGTCACCCGAAACCCGAACAAACCCGATACGAACCAGACACGAAACAAACCCAAAAATTTAAAAAAATAAATTGACCTAAAAAATATCATTTTTATTTTAATTTTTATATTATTTTATATTTAAAATAATATAAATATTATAAATTAAAATAATAATAATAAAAATTTAAGGTCAACCCGAAACACGAAACTCAAAACCTAACCTGATTTTGATATTTCTGGTTATCAGGTCAACCCGAAACACGACCCGAACACGACACGAATTTTTTTCGTTTCAGATTCGGGTCGACCCGATTTTTTTCAAACCCGAAATACCTAAACCCGAACCTGAAAAATTTCAGGTCAAATGGGTTCGGTTTTTCGGGTCGGGTTTACTTTTGACACCCCTAATTATCTCACTATATACAGTAAATTAGACAAAATTGCAAAAACTATCTCATTATTATTTTTATCCTATATTTATCTCGCTGATAAAATATATTTCACATTTTAACAAAAGTCGATATTTATGTCATTTGCCAGCGCGTGACATTCACACCACGCGCGATCACGCGCGACCAAATGATAGAAATAACGACTTTTGCAAACATGTGACATATATTTTATCAGCGAGATAAATACAAAATAAAAATGATAATGGGGTATACATATGAAATATTTTTTGCGATTTTCCCCCGTAAATTATATTGCACATTTATGTGTTTATGAACAAAGGCATAGAATAGTGTATATTTAGTAGTGGCGTGAAACTTTATTTGTTAGTATAAAATTTGTATAAAATATCTTTTTCCTTAAAAAATAAGGATAACTAAGAATCACACATCTAATTAATATGCAAATGGCTTTTAAATATAACCATATACTTTAATCTTTTAGACAAGAATCACAAGATTGGATGAATAATCTGTCAGCATTAGTTTTTGTAGAAATACACTGTTAGATTAAAATTTTCACAATATTTATTTTTATATAATATAAGATCATATGTACGGCGAATAACTTTTAGAAATTTATAGTGTAAATTTTATCTAATTGTTTGAATAAAACCAAAGAAATAAGCTATCAATCTTATACTCCTATATTTTATTTCGCTTTTAGTACAAAAAGTTCTTATAAAATATTTATAATGTCTACTTCTATTCAAGACAAGGTCATCTACATAAAAATGTGTGATTATTAATCGTCGCTACTTTTGGACAAGAAAAAGTATATTTTTTAAAAAAAAATAAGATGTATTATGGAATTTATATACCCCACTATATACCAGGCAAAACAAATTAAAAGAAATTTTATACGAAGGTGATGTAATTTTTACTTACGTAGACATGCTTGCTAAAAGTAAATAAAACGTGTACCTTAGCTTTTCATCGAAGAGAAACTCGGTAAGAGTAAGAGATCCATCTTCTTGATTGTATTCCTTGTCATTTTCAATAAGCTGAACAAAAACTTGATAACTTCTCAGACCTTAGGATCCATATACCCTCCAATAAAGGAAATCTAATACTTTGAATTCCTCAACCAAATGTTGTTAACTTGCGTAGCACCTGTAGTTCCAGTCTATCCAATCTCAGAAACACAATAAAACTCATCTTTCTACCAACATTTATCGTCATTTTTGGCTAGCCGGTGTTCTTCAACAATGTGTTCTGTTCCATCTCCATGCACTCGTATTGTTAGCATATTTTTTATATATTTCTATTTGGGGCCCGCATATATATATGTCTATATATATGCATTCTCTTTTTAGGTTATAATCAATTTTCTATTTTCTGCAAATATTCAAACATGGTATCAGAGCCTATTTTTCTTCTGGGATAGACATCCGCCAACGCCGGCACGTGGCAGCCGCAGTCTGATTTTCTGCACGATTCTTTGGCGCGCTCTATACTATTCTTGATTTTCTCGCTTCATAGTATGGCTCTTAATATAGATCGTGTAGACGCTTCCGGGGTTACTGTTATTCTTTCTGGTGATAATTATGATTTGGGGGCTGAATCCATGAAGAGTTTCTTGATTGGTAAAAGATTATGGCGCTATGTTACTGGCGACTTTTCTGCACCGGTTGCTCCTCTTGTCACTTCTACGGCGCCCCTCAACAATAAGGATCTTACGGACTATCGGAATACCTTGGATGAGTGGGATATTAAGAACCACATTATTCTTACTTGGATTCGGAATACCTCTTTCAAGTCCATTTAGATTCAACTTCACCGCATGAACACTGCCAAGATAGCTTGGGATTATTTGCAGCATCGATACCAGGCCACTGGAGGCATGCATTATTATCAGCTTATAGCTTATAGGGTCATTGAATACACGGACCACCACAGTTTGATAAATGTCGCAGTTGCTCGAATGCTGATCATCTTTATATTTATTGCCCTAAGGTTGAGTGTCACTACTGTCATAAAAAAGGCCACATCCGTCCGCATTGTCCCAAGAATCCCAAGGCTGGTCAGTCCTCTTCCGGCTCTTGCTCTGCCATTGTTGCTGCCACTAGCGTATCATAGTCGCCTCAACCGCCTCCCACTCTTGAGGACCTACGTCACATGCTCACTCAAGTTTTATCAATTCATCCTTCATTAGCCTTAACATCAAGTAACAACACATGGTATATTGATTCTGTCTATTGTAACCACATGACACCTGACCCTCACCTTTTACATTTCTCCCAACCTATCACCTCATCCCCTCATATACTTACCGTTGATGGCACCTTCATGCGCATTACCCATACTAGCCATATATCGTCCCCCCACCTCAATGATGTTTATGTCATTCTCAAATTACCCCTAAACCTTGCGTCTATCGGTCAGTTGGTTGAGCAGGGTTTTATTGTCATTTTTCTTCTTCTAGTGTGCAGGTTCAAGACACGCAGACGGGTCAGATACTTGGGACGGGTCGCAAGACAGGCCGCCTATTTGAGCTTGACTATCTTTGCCCTCGCCAGACACCATCTCTTTCTGCTGCAGTCTCTTCTTCTTCTTCCAATTACTGGCACCTCAGACTTGGTCATGTCTCTCTATCTAAACTCAAGTCTCTTGCAAATACAGGTGTTTTAGGCATAGTTCGTTTTGAGTCTTTTGATTGCTTGCATTGTAAACTTGGAAAACAACCAGCTTTACCTTTTTTGAATAACTTGTCTATTGCTGATAAACCTTTTTCGTTAGTACATTCTGACATCTGGGGGCCCTCTCATGTTGCTACTCTTACTAGGTTTCGTTACTTTGTGCTTTTTATTGATGATTACTCTCGCTTTGCTTGGATTTACTTTATGCGCAAGCGGTCTGAACTTGCTTTCATTTACTCTGCATTCGCTAAAATGGTGCAAACTCAGTTCTCATGTCCTATTCAGACTTTTCGCACTGACAATGCCCTCGAATATAATGATTCTGCCTTTCTTAGTTTTCTGTCTACCCAAGGTACTCTTGTCCAGCGTTCTTGTCCCTACACATCTCAACAAAATGATAGGGCAAAGCACAAGCATCGTCATATTTTAGACACAATTCGAGCCATGTTGTTATCTGCCAGTTGTCCAGATCGGTTCTGGGGCAAGGCTGTTGTTACTGTTGTTTATAATATTAACTGTTTACCCTCATTTGTCTTTCAGGATACCACACCTTTTGAGAGGCTCTTCCGCCAGGTACTTGATTACTCTCATCTTCATCCTTTTGGTTGTGTCAGCTTTGTTCATCTTTCTCCTCATGAACGTAACAAATTAGAACCACGCACCCGTCTGTGTTGTTTTCTTGGGTATGGGATAGAACATAAAGGTTATCGATGTTGGGATCCTGTGTCGAATCGTCTACGTATCTCTCGGGATGTTACTTTTTGGGAGCATAAGTTCTTTTCCTCTGAATCTAAATTTTACATTCTCTTTGAGTCAGAGTCCCCGTTCTTTGTTCTGAATTCCTCTCATCCTCCTGCAAATCCCGAAACCCCGTCTGTTCCTATTCTGGATTCCTCTCCTCCTCCTGCAGGTCCCGAACCCCCGTCGGTTCATGTTCTGGATTCTTCTCCTCTTCCTGCAGGTCCCGAACCCCGGTCCGTTCCTGCTGGTCTGTATGATGTTGATCCTTCCCCACCAGTTGACCCTTCTACGCCTCCTAAGCCTATGTTCGACCCTCCGAAAATTTCAGTTCCTGCCGCCACTGATCGGCGACCCACCCGTGTAAGTCGTCCTCCCTCTCATCTACTTGATTATCATTGTTTTTCTGCCATTTTATCTCACCATGAACCCAGGACCTTTCGTAAGGCGAACTGTGATCCCTTGTGGTGCGACGTTATGTCTGAGGAATTGCAGGCTCTTGAGAAGACCGCCACGTGGGATATCGTCGATCTCCCTCCTGGCAAGAAACCTATTAGCTGCAAGTAGGTGTACAAAATCAAAACTCACTCCGATGGTTCTGTTGAGCGCTACAAGGCTCGCCTTGTAGCCAGAGGTTTTTCACAGGAGTATGGTATTGATTATGAGGAGACATTTGCACCAATTGCTCGTTTGACATCCGTCCGTTGTCTCTTTGTTGTTGCCGTTGTTCGACGTTGGAAATTATTACAGTTGGATGTGAAGAATGCGTTTCTTCATGGAGATTTGTCTGAGGAAGTCTACATGACCCCTCCACCTGGCTCAGATTTTTCAGGGAAGGTATGTCAACTGCGCCGTGCCCTTTATGGACTGAAGCAGACGCCCCGAGCTTGGTTCGCCAAGTTTAGTGTTGCGCTCATTCAATATGGTTTTTCTGCATCTCCCTATGACTCTGCTTTCTTTATTCGTCGTTCTCCTGCCGGGATCATTATTCTCTTGTTGTATGTGGATGACATGGTTATTACCGGCGACGATACTTCTGGTGTATCCGATCTACAGACCTACCTTCATCAAAACTTTGACATGAAGAGTCTTGGTCAGCTCCACTATTTTCTCGGACTTGAGATTTCTGACGCTCCAAATGGCATATATCTATCTCAGGCGAAATATGCATTTGATCTCATATCTCGTTCAGGTCTGACTGATAGCCAGATTGCATCCACCCCTCTCGAGGGGAACAGCCGACTTCCTCCTTTCGACGGCACTCCACTAGAGGATCCCTCCGGCTATCGGCAGTTAGTGGGATCCCTGATATACTTGACGGTCACTCGCCCTGACATAGCTCATGCGGTTCATGTTGTTGCTTAGTTCATGACTAATCCCCGGACAGTTCACTATGCTGTTGTGTTGCGCATCCTTCATTATGTCAAGGGAACACTCCTCAGCCTTCTTCTACTTTCCTCCATTGTGACAGCACGAGGCAATTCAGATCTCCCATAATGATTTCCTTCACGAGCGTACCAAGCATATTAAGATTGATTGTCACTTTGTTTGTCAGCATGTTCGTGCAGGCACTGTTCATCTATCTTCTGTCTCTTCCGAGGATCAGACTGCGGATATCTTCACCAAGTCTCTCTTCCCAGACTGGTTCTCTACATTGTTGAGCAAACTCAACTTGGTTTCTACTTTACCACCTTGAGTTTGAGGGGGGGGTGTTAGTATATTTTTTATATATTCCTATTTGGGGCCCACATATATATGCCTATATATATGCACTCTCTTTTTAGGTTATAATCAATTTTCTATTAATATTCAAACACGTATAAATGTAAATTTTCAAAATTGGGAAAATTTTGAACTGAGGAAGTCTAGAATAAACTTTTTATTTTGGCACTCCTTTACGTGTAAATAAGCTAATCGATCAAATTTCACCTGCAAAACATAATATGTATACTACATATATTAGTTGTTAATTTAATTAACAACTAATAAAGCTAAATCGATACGTAAACATACCAATTTCTTAGCCAACTTTGTTTCTTTCATCTGAAAAGATGACTCGTCACCAAAAAAAAAAAAAAATGAGCTATCAGTATCATACATGGTGTTGCCTTCTTCCCTATCATACCTGCAACAAGCGGATACCATGCATTATAACGAGAAACCTAAACTAGCCATCAAACACATTCATGCAACTATCAAACAGCCAGAATTTGACCTATGCATTTTAATCATTATATAGCATAATGAGAGTTCTTTCATTATTGTACAGATTGATGTGCTCTTTAGTACCATAATTTTCAATCAAATGTTATAAGATAACTTTACATCAAATCTGCCGAAGTAATCAAACCCTGAAAGTAAAATAAATATGTATTCTTATTTAATCTTCCCTGTTTGCATTCATGCAAAATACTGTATATTAGCTTGGCAGGTTCCAAGCAAAGAATAGACATTGTTTCAAAGGCCAATTATAAAATTTTAACACAAATAAAATATGATGAAATTATGATACGCGGTCAACGTAGCCAAAAGTTGATTCACGAGAATGAAAGAAAGAGCAAGTGCGCTTTGGGCTAATTGTGGCAATGACCTGAAGTTTAAGTTTATTATTAAGTACCTCACTTTTTTATTTTCTTATTTGATTATTTTGGATAAATTGTTAGGTTGGTTGGGCCTAGGCCCATAGTAGTTTTGCCATAGTACTTAAGTATTATTTTGAGACATTATTAGCATTCTGATTTCCTTCAGTTTCACGGCTTTGGCTTGGTCGGGAAGAGTAGTTCTTCCTTGGTTATCAATAAAGTT